AAGCGAACAAACAAGTCACTTGGTTCAGCATTTATTTTCAAGTTCCCCAGCCATATATCATAACTTTACCACATTATGTGCAGCTACTGAAGTATAATGATTTTTTTTTCCATCTAACTGTAAAGTTTTTAAAGCTTAATAAAACAAAATTAAAGCAATTAAATTAAATTTTCTCAATAGTCATAAGAGATGAGAGGTGGAGTTCAACAAGGTAGGGATCCAAAGTTGGGGGAAATTATGCATTATAAGATCAGTTTAGGTGAATTGTTAATCTCAAATCTCAGTAGAATATTTTGTGGTTTGTTTAATGTTTCTTTAGCTAATGGGCCACCATTAATCAGACATCTAAAACATTTCAGGGGATTATATCACAGGTTTATGAGCAAAATTGTTATAATTAATTATGCCCTTCCTTTTTTTTTCTGGATCCTGCTCAGAATAACCTTTTGGCTGTTCTTGTAATATTCCAAAGTGGAGTGACTCTTTCATGTAGAAACGAACTGAGCCAAGAGCTTAATATACATGTTAGAATGAATAGATTCTAATTATAATTATGAGCCTTTGGATGAATGTGATTGATTGTATAATTTCCTCTGAACTTTAATGTCATCTTCAACATAATTTGCTGATTAATAACCACTGATGTCCATGGCTTCAGTTTTACACTGCCATCTACTTTCCTCTTGACAAGGACATTCTGATTATTCGCCTCTTATTACCTAAACAAATACAAGCTTTTATTTGACATACTGGACAGCTAAATAAACTACAAGGCAACTACCGTCAAGTGTTTCTAATTAGAACACTTATGCCACTAAATGATGAACACTAAATCATACTCAAAAAGTACTTTTATCTATATTAAGAAACATGAAAGTTTATAGAAAAATAATGCAAATGCAAATAAAACAACTTTGTTGGCTAAAATACAATGTGCACAACTATTTTAGTTCTTTCCAATTTTCTGATAAGATTATGTCCTCATTAGGGTTCATTTTACATGATTCATTATAAGGGCCACATTCACCAAATAAGAGACCAAGTACAGAACTGATTGTTTTATCCCTGACCATTAAATACTGACCCAAAGAAAAAGATTTTAAGTTCAAAATACCCCTGGGGGAAATCCACTTATGGGTGACTTCTAAGAATAGTTATTTGAATGTTTTCTCACTAGGAACTGATAAACTGCTGTTCTCGGCTGATGTTAGTGGTTCAGAATAGAAAACAAGATTTTAAAAAATCTTCTTTTGTTTACCTTTCTGTTCAGCATCCTGTCATGGGGCCAAACATGGCTGTCTATCTGACTCCAGCCTCCATGAACTGGGTCTTAATTGGCCATATATTATGAACTGCAGATATTTATCTGAATTCAAAAGAAACCAAATGCAGTGACTGCTGAAATAAAAGCAATAATAGATAAGAGCTGAGAGTGGCATCTCCAGTCCTGAAAATCATTCAAATAAAGTCCAGGAATCCATTTTTACATTGCATTCGTCAGTCATCCCTCAAGTCAGATTGACTGGATTTTTAAAAATATTTTATCTCTAGGTTTTTTTTCCCGAAGTTTTTAGCTATTTTATTAAATTGTTCTTTACCTGATGGTAGCATGGGTATAACAACGGTGAGCTCTCTCTCATCCGGGTCATGCCGGGTTCACCGAAGGTTAAGGCGGCTAAGCCTTAAAGACAAGGGATTGAAGCTTTGTTGAGCTTCAGATTCTTTTTTCCAGTTTACTAAGTCTATAATCTCCAGCCCTGAATTTCTTTCATTGAAGAAATTTCCATAATGGCAGTTTATTTTTATAGTCACAGTCTTAGAGGCGACTCATCTTCCGTGCCATTTTTCCCAGAGGCATTCACAGGGCAAAATGGGGCACGTGAGGGTTTTGTGAATATCAAACTACACTTTCATTGATGACTCATGAGAAAAAATGGTTTAGGGTTGACTAAGGAACTTCATAAGCATTGCGTTATACAGAGCTAATTAATCCATTGAAGACAAGATAGACATCTGACATTCTTTGGGTGTCTTATACATTCTCAGTTAGAAAACTTCACATTCTTGTCAACTTTCAGTTCTGTTATTCTTCCCCTCCCATAATTTACAGCCAGCTCTACTCATATTCATTCACAATACTGCCATATTCTTCTTTCCATCACTATGAAAGTAAGACATTAAATGTAAGGTGGATGTTTAAATAGTGGTAGCTGACTGAATTAAAAGAATTGATTGAAAATTACAAGGAAACAGGCTTGATCTTTAATGTTGGTCTATTTACAGAATTGGATACAACAATTCTGTTATGAACATCTGATAAGGATTGTGGCCAATATTATAACCCCATGGGTGGATTTGATTCCTCTATTTAGTTTTTTTCCTTTTGAGTCACCTTTATCTATTCTCTCTCTCTCTCTCTCCCCCCCCCCCTCTCTTTTGACAGGTGAGTGGGAGGGGAGAGTTGAGATGTTAGAAATATCAAGTTGGGGGAAAGTGTAAGTTTCCCCAACATGCATGGTTTAAATTGAGTCTGGATCAGGTTTCTGCACATCTATTGTAGGGTAGATGAATTAAGGGGGCGATGAAATGAATGCTGTGTAATTAATGTTTAGTTTGACACGTGGGCCAAATTATGTGCTAAAGCTGTAGTTGACAACTATGCATTTTCTGCCTTTTTTTTACTATAGAGTAGGGGCAGAAGATCCAATTTGGGTAAGATCCCTATAATAAACATGGGAGTTTTAATCCTCTGCCTGCTACCGCAGTCACAGTAGTTTCTGAGACCTCTTATAGTTAGTTTCTGTATGCAGAAATCTATTCCCATATCTTAATGGATAACATTTTTTGCAAATAGATAAAACATTTATATAAGTGCTCATCTAAGAATTATAGTTAGGAGCCTTCTTTCCTCCACTCCATGCTGTTGGCATCTTTAAAATAACATGCAATTGGGCATTGAGAAAGGTTTTGTTGAGGAACTCATAATTGAAATTAAATTCTTTCATTGCTTCCTGGAATACAGATGAACAGCTGAAGGAAACACGTTATGCTAATGAATTTGCCTATTGACTCACATATGCATTTTTTGTTTAGATAAATAGCAAAGGGAAAATTATGTTTTTATTACAACTCCTATGATCCATGTCCAGACTTCATACTGGTTGAGGAAAATACAAGGTGTAATCCAATTTATCTGGAGATCATAACAGTTACCTTCCTTGGACGAACAGAATTATGTTTGAGAAGAGAGAGTACCTTTTTCTGGTAGTAAAATGTGCTTTTGAATGCAAAGTTTAAGATACAGATTTTTTTTAAAAAAATCAAACTTTTGAAACAACGGAAACCAGAACAGTATTTTTTTTTTTTCAGGGAATTAAGGGGTGAACTGAATTTAAACCTTTGCAGATACTTAAGGAGCCTACTGTCCCCGGCAATACCCCTTAGCAGTCTGAAACCCAAAATAAACAAAATGCTTTCCTCTCTCCCCACCCCCAAAGATTTTAAAATTCTATAAGGCCCAAACCACCAATCCCTTCCCTTAAAATCATTTTACTCCTCCAAACTGGAAAAATATTTCAGACCTGCCCCTTTTAATGATGGCCCTGAAGTTTGTCCAGTTATTATAAAGATGCTTGTGCTACCTCAGTGAGAAGTGAGTCTTTTGATAGAAGACCCTTAATTCATAAAGGAGAAAATCACCGCATGCTGCTCTTCTACTGTTCACTTAAGAAATACTTTTATTTATTGTGGTTATTATTTCATATCTTGACTCCCTGATTTTCAGCCTCACGTCCATCATCTTGTAAAGTAACTTAAAAGAAGATGTGCATCCCAATAACTTCTACTTCAGTATTCATAATTCCAGGGCAGAAATTACAGAAAAATTAAATGTTAATTTTATCAATGATGTATAATCCCTCCAGTGCTAAATTATTTAAGGATGTGGCCTAGTTTTGAAGAATGAAACAACTTGTTTAAGAAGTCACCTGTTAACCTGCAACGTCAGGAAATCAAACATCTGGTAATGACTCAGTCATCCCAGTGAATCCTAGATACCGACAATTCATGTTGGTTCTTGCAGATCCCTGTTATAGCATTCCAAAATCCTGCAGAACCCGACTGGGCTATTTAAGCATGCACGCAAACCAAAAATTCTGCCTGCTTTTGTTTGTCTTGTTTTGTGCCAGCAACCACACATGCTTTTGCCTTCATAAAATAATTAGATGGACTTTTGCACAATTCCTGCATCTTGAAGCAAGTTAAAGTTTGAAGCTGTTTTTTTCTCCTCTGTAATTTTTCTTAACTTTTTAGAATCAGGATTGCTTTTACAATTTTAGCATCCATTTTTTCATGTTAAAAGATATGGGTTCTTTTATCAAACCAACACGTATCCTATAACCAAAAAAAAAAAAAAAACCCATTCTGGAAACAATCACAGCCAGTAAAAGTTACTTCTGCTTTATCTATTTCTCAACAACTGGATCTCCTTAGCAGCACTGTGTTCTTAATCAAAATGGTAATGTAGGTGAGCATATTTTGTGTAGAACAGTAATGCAAGAAATTGTACATGTTTAGGCTGCTGTGGTAGGTGAGATATACCATGAACTAAACAAGGGGTATCAAGCTCAGTTTAGGTCTGGGCCACAGGGCCTCCCGGGAAACAACGAAGAACTGGCCCTTGGTACCTCTGCCAGCAAAAACAAGGCTCGGGGAGGCTGTGTGTGGCCGTTCGGGGCTCCATTTTCAACCATGATGGACTCCTGCAGCCCTCTGCCAGCGAAAACAGAGCTCGGGGAGGCCGTGCAAGCTAGCCACACCCACTAGCCATGCCCCTTGTCCCCTCAGGTCAAACACAACCCTGATGCAGCCCTCAGTGAAATAGAGTTTGACACCCTTGAACTATACCGTGATTAAAATTGGGGACTTTAGGTTAATGGAAACAATCATCATTTTGATTCTAAGATAATAATACTTTGCTATTCTTTTTTGTCCTTTTCAAGTGACGAAAATGCAAGAAAAGCTCTGAAGAACTTGCCTGCATTTCCTCCCAAGACTTTGCAGGAGCATCCTTCACTTGCCTATTGGTAAGACCTAATTATTAAATGTTTAGGTGTATCATATTAGGATACTGGCCTTCTCTTTGTTTTCTCTTTATTAATTAATAAATTTGTGAACCATAGACAGTAATATCCAAGGTCACATAATGGGAAAAGCTTTGAATTCAAAATGGCTGTCGTAAAGCTTGTGTTACAAGTCACAAAAGAATCAACAGTTTTTCAGAAGAAAAACTGGTGTGGTTGCTCCTACCAACCCCTCTAATTCCTTAATTAACTCTTCTCCCAAGATTTTCGGCTCTATTCCAGCTTACCTTTGTCTTTTTTCTGGGCAGGTGGGCAAATTTCCAAACCAAGCATCATTTTTAATGCTTACAAAGCTTACATGGAACCCAAAGGCATTTTTCTAAATACAGATAATACCACAGGATAAACACTTTGTGACATAACATCTCCCTATTTAATTATTATTTTTTAATTGAAAGAATATTAAAAAAAAAAAAATAGAAGCCATGTGGAAAGTGAGGCCTTCATTTCTCCCAGAAACATTTCATAAGCATTTTGGAGTCCATGGCTGCTACCTTCTATCCTTCTGCTTTAAAAAATAAAATACACTATCTGCTGAACACATTTTAACACCCTGGTATTATTATGGCACTGTGGAACTTTTCTTCCTGTTCTGGTTGCTTGAAAAATCTTATCTGACAAATAAGATTGATCCAAACTCTGGAAATAAATGTTACCAAAGTTTAGGAGGCTATAAATATATTAGAGTCCAACCTCAGGATATAAAAATAAGTTTACTTGCTTAAGAGAACAGTATCCAGAATTTTTTATTAGGTTATAAAATAAGATACAATATCCCACTCCAGATAGTCCTTAACTTATGGCCACAATTGAGCCCAACATTTCTATTACTAAGCAAGACATTGTAAAGTAAGTTTTGTCTCATTTTATGATCTTTCTGGCCACGGTTAAGTGAATTTACTTCAGTTGTTAAGTTAGCAACATGGTTGTTAAGTGAATTTGGCTTCTCCGTTGACTTTGCTTATTGGAAGGGTGCAAAAGGTGACCACATGACCCCAGGATACTGCACCATCATAAATACCACCCGGTTTGTCAAACGTCCAAATTTTGATCATGTGACCATGGGGATGCTGCAATGGTTATAAGCATGAAAAACAGTGGTAACTCACTTTTTTCAGTGTTATTGTAACTTCGAACAGTCACCTAAACAAATGGTTGCAAGTTGAGGACTATAAATAACAAAGAAATGTATGTCTACTAGCCACCCTTTCTAAAAGAATCTCAGTTTGCAATCTTTGATACAGCTAATCAGGAGTAACATACTGAATACTGAATAAAACTAAACACCTGAAACACATGACTAGGGTTGTGGGTGAGTAAAACTGAGGTGTTTTGAGCCACTGCGGCCATTTTCTGAATGTTTGCAAATGGCACTTTGCTTTCCAGAGGTTTCCCTGAGCTTCCGTAACCAATGTCCTCCAGTGAGTTGAATTCCAGAATTCCAGAATTTCAGGTCAGCATGGTGGATACACCTGGAGAGCACAATGTTAGAAAAAGCTAGTTATTAATTATACAGCTGTTTCCAGGCTTCCTTGTGGCAAAGTTTTGTAATAAAAATATGCTGCAATCTTATCATTAGAAGTCCATCATTGTCAAGTTGTTATTGTAAAATTTTCTTCTACATGAATTTAATGAAGAATACTGCAAATAAACTATTATAGTTTATGATAGCTTACCCCTTTGGGTTGTAATCCTGGGCATGGTTATGCAAGGATTTTAGAAGCCTAACCATACAGTGGAATAGACTTTGTATCCTCTGGTAAGTCACTAGCTTTTTCTGTAACAATGATACGTCATAGAAAAATTCACAAAGGTGAATTTCTTGGGAACCCCAAAAGCAGAACCACTTACTTAGAGCCCTAGGATATCATGCAGATAATTAGAGATTACCTTGTTCACAAAGAAACAAAATCTTGCTTGTTTTAAGTCCTCTCAGTATAATCAGACCTACACATTTTTCATTGTAGCATAATAAAAGGAGTTTCTATTTTTCCTTGGAAGGGGAACATTTAATATCAATGTGGCATTACTTTCTGCAATATAGTTACTCAAGTCACTGGATTTTTCTAAATAAAAATTAGACAGCCCTAGGTCATACTTAAATTATAACTTGTGATTACTAATACAAACAATGAGTTCCTATAGTCATCTTGGGAAAATAAGTGTAAGAGTTCTTGATGCATAAAACCATAAGTCCATTGGGCCCAACATACTTTGTTTCACAACAGCCAACCAGTTGCTGCTGGGAAAACCACAACCAAGGCATAAAAGTAGAATTAAGTCCTCTCTATTGTTGCCTCCTAATACAATACTTCTATAAAGCAATCACAGCTATAGGGATCATTCCCTTTTTAAAGACGTCTCTAGGAATCAGCACTGACTTGACGTTCGTAGTCAAATCCTAATTTCAAGAATATGGAGAACATGGAAAGAGAGAATTGTTACTCTTTCTTTATAAATTTATCTCATTTGAAGGTAAATACATTTTGCAAATTAATTAACAGCTTATAACAGTGTTATTCCCCATACTTGGCTGGGGAATTCTGGGGGTTAAATTCACACAACAGTTACCAAGGTTCAGAAAGTCTGGTCTATAGTATTATATGTAGGTATACTTACGTGTATTCATTCATTCATTCATTCATTCATTCATCTGACTGCTTGGGTTATAAAAGAACTGACTCTCTTGAAGCTCAGCTGTTTTATGTTGTAATCTGTCTTGGAAGTTTCTTTCTTCCAGAATGGCCAACTTAGTCTGTAAAATATGTCATTATAAGCTTTCCTTTCTCCCTTTGTTCTAGAATGTTGTGAATTCTGTTGTCAAGATTTGTTTCAATTATATTGTAGAGGCACTTGCCCATTTGGTCCATGTAGAATGCACAAGTGCACTGATAGCAAATCATTAATAATACTAGAAGGTGAGCAAATGAATTGAATTCTAGTGTTATGGTTGCTAATAGTGTCACCATTTGCCTTGTGGAAGTTTTTTATACTAGTTTCTATATAAGTCCTTGGAGTCAGATCTGATTATACTGAATATTGTATATATTTGTGCATAAACCCATTTGCGGATGAGCCAACCCTCAAATTTCTAACTTTTAAAATATCAAGGAAATTGCAGTACCTACAGATAAGTCGATCCTTGAAATGTTCATGTGTTTTAATTTTCATAATTGGCTTATCCATGAATAACCCACAGATTAGCCATTTTTCATGGTGTTTTGTTTGAAAATTCAAGGATCAGTTTATTCAGGGATGGGTTTATAAGTGAAATATATTTAGATATACATTAAGAAGCATTACTGTATATTCTTATGGATAAATCCATCCGTGGATAATCAGAACCCAATTTTTGGAGTATATTTTGGTATCTAAAATTCTCAGCTTATTCATGAGTACATAATGTATTTGTGTAGCTTCTATTCATTCAAGAAGTATGCAGGCTGACCTAATTTTTGATGCTCAAGAAACAAATGTAATCAAGTAAGATAACATATACCTTTTTTCACCATGGGATGGGAGCGGAAAAAGAGAAAAATAGAGACAAATTAGTCATGATTGTTGAACCATATTCTTTCACAGGGCAATATGGACAGTGTTTCAAAACTCATGACCATGTTCACATCTTCACCACCTTTATCTCAATCATTTTGGAAGTGCTTCAAGCTCAAAATAGCTCAGTTTTAAGGACACAAGCATGAAATCTTCCAGAATGGTTGAAACAACCCATTTCACATTCAGAATAGGAGAGTTCCGCTCCGTGATCTTTTTAGATGTAGCAGACAGTGAGACAGCAAATTTAATGTGAATTGCAGATTTGAATCTAGGATTGCCTAGTCCCGTATCACCACATTAACCTCTTTATCACATGATAATTTTGTGGTAAATAACTTCACTGTCATTATGAGATTACTGCCATATGCCTCAAATCATACAAGAAAATAAAAGGCTTTACTTTTGCTCTGTCTGCAAATATTTTAAGTTGTATTTAGGAAAGGAAGGAAGGAAGGTGTGTGTCTCAGTGTGTGTGTGTGTGTGTGTCAGAAAAACCCAGTCATTAATCTTGCTAGGAGGGTAGGAGTTATCAAAATCGTAGGCCAGCATATCTGAAAGGCATTGGGCAGAGGCTGTGTTTTGTTTTGTTTTTTTACAACCTGACATAGCTCTGCTAACTTTATAGTCACCGCAGTTCCCTTTCACCACAGTTACTTTTTATGAAAATCCAGGCTATAAAGTACTTTCTCTAGAAGAGGCTTAACCTGTAATTCCATCCTGTGCCTTCCTAAACTTGGAGCATCCATTTTGTGGGTGGACAGAATGTGTAGGGCAGGGCTGCCAAACTCACAGCCCGCGAGCTAGATGCGTCATGCATTGACCACGCCCATGTCCAGTTTAGTGAAGGGGGGAAAAGTGCCATGATGCTGCTGTAACGACGACATGAGTTTGACATTCCTGGTGTAAGGGGTATACTTCACAGAGAGATTCTGTGGAATGTTTTGTCTGGCTGGGATGCATTTGGAGCAACGCAGGATCTAAAACCCTTCTTCCTCAGTTAATTAACTCTTTTTGCTTTTTTTTTCCTCAGTGAGGACAGAGTAATCCAACATTACATTAAGAACAAGGGGCTGACTAGAGGACAAGCGATTGTTCAGTAAGTGTTTTTTGGCTCTTTTAATGGTATGTGGGAATGATCTTGGAAGACAAGACAATGAGACGCAACCAAGGGTTAACTGATAAAAGGCAGCTTAGCTCCCTTAGCAGGAATGTGGGCTGGGCAAAAGGTGCAAAAGAAACCCTCTCTAGTTTTTAGATTGTAAAGAGGAGGAAGGAGAAGACCCGTCAGACTTGCAAGATTCTGTTAATATAATCTTACTCAAAAAAAAAGCAGAATTGGCTCATCTGGTTGTGTTTCCTATCTGGTTTACCTCATAAGGCAAACATCTATTAATGGGAGAGGTTACAGCACAGAACAGATTTCAGCCCTGTTCTGAACTATTGACAGCTATTGTGATTGAGGCTGACCCTTTCTGATTACAGTAATCCATGTAAAACAAACTTTGGAACTATCTCTGCAAGCCTGAAACATTTTAGACTGCCTTATTATCTTCCGACACATTGCTCTTCTTCCTCCATGTCCCTGCTGTCCTCTCACTTGAGGTTGATAGCATATTTATCCGCTGAACAATGCCTTCCAACCTAGAGATAAACCAGAAACCAATCCAGCAGCAAAAGCTGTATAAGCAACTGTATCCTATGAATGGATGCTTAGCAGAACAAGGCCTATAGGATTCAAACATATTGTCGTTCAGATTTATGTTATGCACTGTATTGGAATAAGGGAATGAACTTGGGAAATGGTGTGGAAAGAGATGCTACCTAGGAAATAATCAGATAAGAGAGCCCCCCATAGATTAACACTTAGAGGAAGAAACTTAGAAAGGACCTGCCCTAATCAATCAAACACGTAAAATTGGAGGTGAGATTTTGTACTGTCAGACCTGGAAGATTTATGTAGCCTTACAATAAAGTAGATATAACTCTTCTACTCTTGTTTTCCTGTCTGGTTACTTGGGAAGGCTAACATGCACTCAAAGTGGCCAAGCTACATTTACAACGAAGCTGATTTGGAAGAACTGAACACTTCCAAGAGCTAAACTTGGAAAACATTTTGGACTAGTATTGCAGAGAGCTCAATTGCTAGAATTGAAGCCAAGTTCTTGATGGAGCTTGGTTGTTATAACAAGGGAATACCTTCAGGGAAGTACCTGGCAACCCCGAGAGCTTCAGGGGGATTGAGAGCAGAAAGGGGATTATAAAAAAAAAGACTGGTTCTAATTTAATAATCTCCTTTGAAATGTTAACTAGTTTGTTGCTGTGCTTGAACTTGTTTGTACACAGACTTCACTATTAATGTTGATTGATGCTTTATATAATTAAAGCATCTAAAACATTTTGATGTGAAACCTAAAATTCTTCCTAGAGTCCCTCTGTGAAGCAGTTGGGCAGTTTCAAAATTAGAGAGAGTGGGAGGGAGGGGAGAAAGAGTGAGAATGAGAATGAATCAATGAATCCAAGGACACCATTCAGGTAATGTGTATTAGTAGAAGATATTACTGAAGAAGCTGTATATCTGTCCATGCAGGTACATGAAGTTGGTTGAAGCCCTGCCTACTTATGGGATCCATTATTATGGAGTGAAGGTTAGTGAGTACAGAAACAAAACTGAGTAAACTGTTGTATGCATTTTTCCTTTTAATAAAAGCAACTCGTTTGAACAAAACGAGTAAGAAGATGTCGGCATGTCATAGTGCCCCCATTTAAGGATTTTTACCTTTTCAGCTCAGCTCTTTTTACTTTTCTCAGATCATGAGAACATTCTGGATCCTCTTCACCCTTCATTCTCTTCAGAAACGAAGTCTTTATTTATACGGCTGCTCATGATTTGGCTTCCCTGGATCCACCTTGAGTAGAGTCTGCATGAATGCAGATCTTATACTTAGGTGATGGTTTTCAATAATCATTCACCTGGTAATCAGAAGATGGCAAGGACTTTGGCTTAAGGTCCTGGACAATTGCCAGTCACAGAAAATAGTGAAAAGACTACATGAACATGGAGTGCCTTTCTTTGTTTTTAAGAAATAACAGAAATAGGGCAGGAAGAGCATTGTTAACACATTGCAAGATTTAACATGTTAATTTTTCATTTAGAATGTTCTATCTTTTGCCTAGCAGACCGTATTTAAATTCCTATAATTTATTTAAGAGGGTTGGGTTTTTTTTTATCCCATTCAGAGCTACAATGTTAGTTGATTAGAATAACACAAATAGCATTTTGCATCTCTGTGAATAAAACCTCTAGGAGCTAGTACTTACATTACATTAACGGGCTAGCGTTCAAGAAGATGTACTGTTATATTAATAACAAAGCAAATAGATCCATGCCATCTGAAACTGCACTCAAACTGTAATGATATGTATATGAACAGCAACATCCTGCCAGAGGCATATATATCATCTGGTCATACTCATGCTTTTCTTTACATGTAGATTGACCCTGTGTAGCGAATGAGCACTTTTTCAAACTTTTCAAAAATGTCTTGGATTTCACAAATCCCCATTTTGATAGGGAATTTAGAGATCCCCATCTTGAATAGTTTTTTCCCACATTCTCCACATTTTATAGCCTCAGTAAAATTGTAGAATCTTTTCATTTTCATGGAATGCTCACATTTGCACTGTGGGTAACAAATAATTGAAGAATAAAGTGGATTAAGAGATATGGCGGTGCAGTGGTTAGAATGCAGTACTGCAGGCTACTTCTGCTGCTTGCTGGCTGCCTGTAGTTTGACAGTTCGAATCTCACCAGGCTCAAGGTTGACTCAGCCTTCCATCTTTCTAAAGTCGGTAAAATGAGGACCCAGATTGTTGGGGGCAATATACTGACTCTGTAAACCACTTAGAGAGGGCTGTAAAGCACTGCTATTGCTATTTGGGCCTGATATAAGTGCTATTGCTATTTGGACCTGAAGTTCATTTGCTGGTATCTACTGGTATTGAAGAAATTGTGACATGGAGGAGTAAAAGCCTTCCATTATTGAAAGTACTGTTGGCAATTTCCCTGCAGCACAACTGTCAGTTCTTTAAAATGGGGTCTTCTTGGGTACGGTTTGGAGATGACATTGAAGCTATTAGATCTAAAGCCGCTCTGTCCCCTGGGAGGATTACAATAATGGCATCTTATTTTTAGCAGTTTAGAATTGCTTTCCAAAACTTCCGTCTAAAATAAAATGAGCGAAAATCACTTTTCTTTTCTTAGGAAAAAAAATGGAGTCAACTCCATGCATAAATTGTGTTTGGAGTCTCTGGCTTCTTTAGTTCTCCTTTAATTTTTTTTTTTGCTGGTTTTGAACTAGAGATAGTTGGTTAATTTTAGCCACAAACAATTTAATAATACAGTAATTTACCCCCTTCCTCCCCTTCTTTTTCTTGTAGTATTGATGACTTCATGGACAGATCTGTGCATTTTTCTTGGCAACCTGCAGTAGTGGTATTATCATTGGCAGCCTGCCAGGATGTTTTTCAGTTTTTTTAATCTAGGGATGAAAGAAAGTAACTGGCCCAAAATTGCCCAAAATCTTCATGCCTAAGGAAGCACCAGAACCTGCATTTCCTTACTCCGGGTTCAGCAATTTAATCAGGACATCTCACTAGCTCTTTGAACATACTTTACAGAGTTGCTTTAAGAAGTTATGGAAATAATGCCTTATTGCAGAGTTCCCCAACCTTTTGGGTTGGTGGCCCCGGGGAGGGAGGCACCTTTATGTGTGTATGTGCATGCGCAAGCAGGGTTCGCAACGCTCATGGCGATAGTAGTGGCTTCACAGTGACCTGAGTGTGAGTGGTGTGTGTGTGCACATACACTGGCTAGCCACTCATGTGGCCCACTGGCCAATGGGCCACAGCCCACAGGCTGGGGACCCTTACCTTATTGTACAGTACTATAATTTACTTTTTTGTTGCTTGAAAAAGAGCTCCCCCAAAACTATTCTCACCAACACTGACGGGGCAAGCCACTAGAATATAAACGGAGAGCAAACCCTACTTCTTACTATCACTGACATGTTACCTAGTTTAGTAATGAAAGGTCTGCAAGAAAACAACCCAGCTCAAAGAGCACCAAGGAGTCCTCATTTTAATCTTGAGCTACAAATATTGTCCTTCGTTGAAAAGAGCTCTGTGGAAGATGAAATCACCAAGAAAAATTGTCAGTTCAATTTTCTCTTCAAATAAAGAATAACCATTTGCTCTAACCTTCTGCTTTTTCATATGTGCATTTAAAGTAATTTATGGACTTATAAAGGCTGAATAAAGTGTACATCTGAGTAAATACATATGGAACTGTGCAAAGTGTGTACACAGCCCATTCCTTTCCCTCAACAGTTCAGCCTTATTTTGGACTTGTCCCTCATCAAATCTTCTTTTACTGTTGTTGCTCACCTCCCACAGATTTTCTTCGGTGTCTGCCCCACCTCTAGCCATGTTTTCAAAGACTATAGCAGTTTCTCTTCCCTACTGCTCTGTGGCTGTTTGCGTAGCATCTTCCAGCTGGGAAAGGAATAGCAGACCCCTTCAAACAATAAACCTCCTCTGTCAGCCACAGGTGTGCTAACAAAGGGCTGCCTTCATCTCCCTAACCTGCTTATACTTGTTGCAGGATGAAGCAAAGAAACCTTATGTCAACTCTGAAGTTTTTGACTCTTGCTAAAGCCTTAGAACTTCTATTCTTCTCTGCCATAGGATAAACAAGGCATCCCTTGGTGGCTTGGGATCAGTTATAAAGGAATTGGCCAGTACGACTTGCAAGATAAAGTCAAACCTAGAAAAGTAAGTCCATCTGCATATGTGTGCATTTGTCTTTGTAATGTATAAAGAAAAATATAAATATATTTTCCCCTTGTCATTCAGCTAAAGAAGAATATTTCTTAGTTCTAGAGCAGTTTCCCACAGTCTGACTTTCTCGAGGTATATTGGACTACAGTTCCTACCTCCCACCAAGGTGGCCAAACAGAGAATATGAGAATTGTAGTCCAGTAAACATCTGGAGAATGGATAAACTTTTCTAGTCTGTTGAAATATTTGGAACCAGTAAAAATTGTTTTAGGATGAATGAAGCACATATTTTCTTTGTTTTGCGTTATATTTTAATGTTGTATATGTTCCATGAACTGCCCAGGTTACTGATCAGATGCCTGAGATGCCTCCCAGCAGGATCTGAAATAGTAATCCACCAACATTTCTCCCCATTCTATCCCTGCAACTGATATTAAAAGATATTCTGTAAAGAGACGTGAAGATTCCATATAGCCATCATGAGTGCATTAATATGGTTAATTTGTCATGAAATCATAGCAACGGGTTCCATAGTTTAATGAAGTGTTGTGTGAAGAAGTCCATCCTTCTACTGCCAGACCACTTCACTGATTGACTCTTAGTCAATATGACAGGGAAGAAAAATGCTTTCAATGTACTTCCTTTACATATTAAATTCTATGAAATAGATTAGGAGCATGTTTTCTAAGTTAAAGTGTTCCAACCCTTCTAACTTTTGCTTGGATAGAAGATTAGGTTGCAAGGTAACTATTGTGATTGTTCCTGCCAAGTCAGGAAATCCCAAGTGCGATGTCTTATTTATGCTTCTTTCCATCCCCACCAATTCCTTCTCTTCTCTGACATGCTAAGCAGTTTTTCAAAACAACATTTTTTTTTGCCTGCATTTGAAACACAATCCCAACTGATGCATTTCATGAGAACATGAGAGTGCAGGGACAAGAGGTACTTGTTCTGTTCTACACAAAGCTTGTTAGACAACGGAGATGGGATATCTATACATAGAAATTGCCTCATCATTATTTCTTGAACAAAGACTAAATGTCTGGAATGAGTTCTGAAGACCTTGGGAATAAACTCCATGCTAGCTGTATGGAGCAAACTCAAACACATGTAGTTATTGTGCCATAGGGGAAACACATCTATGGTTTCTCCTTCTTCCCAGCCTTTCTGCTTTATGTTGATATCCAAGGAAGCTGTTTATTGTGATGTTTCTCTTGTCCTCAGAATATTTTGGGTTTAACAGCTTGTACATGTTTTCTTTTGATTGCACAATTTTCTCTCCTTGGAACATAAATGACGCATATAATGGAGTGATACATCTAGTTAGCTTTCTAGAAAATAGTACATCCGCAAGAATGTGTGGAGAAGCAGATAGATCAGATCTTTTGAATCTGTTTTATCCCCTGTACTTGTTAACATTTGCAGCAGACAGAAAAGTTCCTGTAAAATAGGTGATTGGGAGTTTCCAGCTCCTTTTTTTTTATAAGTGAGTGAGAAAACTGATTGCAGTCTTGTTAAAATATCCTGATGTTCAAGTTTCTTAGGAGGTTTATGTGCAACCTCTTCTAACAGAGTAACATAATATATGAGAATCTGCTCAACACATTTTCTTGTCCTGTAATTGCTTCACTTCTAGCTCTTAATTCTCCACCACTGCATGCAGTGCACACCAGACAATGGGTAGAAACTGCACCGCCAGAATTGTTAGATTTATTTATACAAACTTACATACAATTCATATGGCTGCCCATCTTTCTTCCATGACACAGGACAGCTAAGAATAGATTAAAACCATAGCAATAAAACCCAGCAAAAATAGACGCCATGGGATCTTTAATGCAATGGAGTCCCTTAGCAAGTTCTAGTTCATCCTACAGATATAAACTATGCAACTAGACTAACTTTAGATGCCAGCTCAAGGCCTGTGGGAATAGCTAAGTTTTAAAATACTGATAAGGTTGGAGCCATCTGAATTTCACAAAGAATGGTATTCTAAAGGATGGACACTGCAACAGATAAAGCATTTTTAGGCAGTTTGATGGAGATCAATGGGGAGGAATAAAAGCAGCTCATGCCCTCATTCACATTAATTCTCCCCAAACAAAGCCAAATATTTCTGTTCTTTTCCCTTCTTGAGAAATTATTACGATATATCTGGGAAGTCAGGAGGTAGAATTGTGTTTCCTGCTCCTTTCAAACTTTCAGATTTAGAACTCACTGATTAAAACTGTTAAAGTCATTGTATATGGGGTGTACTTCATCCACGGTGAAGGTGAATTCAATGGATTCTAAGAAAAATTCTAAGAAAATTCTTCTCTTCAGAGGTTTTAAGCGGAGATTATCAAATACACTCCCATTGAAATGTGACCCTGTTTGGTATGATGATGATGCTTTTGGATTCATTAACATTATTTCTGAAATTAAGCAGAGACTGGGTAAATTTGGGCTAATGTCCAAATAATCCAAATTTAGACCAACTATAAACCACTAGATATTTACATGCTGAAAAGGAATCTGATGTGCGCCTGCTTCCTAAGCTTAAGTTTTCTTTTTTCAAATTTTATTTATTATTGCCCTAAAGATCACATCCGTTTGTCAGGGCATTCTCAGTACATTTATTCAGACAAAAAAGACAGGGGACTCACAGAATATATAAATGCAGTATGAATAAAGATATAAATAAGGAAGATTTATCAGTACCACCAAGCTTATGTTTGTTGATGTATTACAAAGCCAATCAGTTGAGACAGCTAATGTTATTTCTGGGGATGATCAAAATAAACCATGGATGGGCAACAGTTGTTTCTCTGTCACCATATGGGTTTAAGAAAGAACACAGTATTAATGTTCATTGGATTTCCCCAGTTGCCCTCATAAGTATTCTCAGTACGTGAAACTGAATCTACGTGGATGTATCATTCAAGAAAAATACGGCTTGCAAAAGCTCAGCAGAGAGTAAACTCAAAACTGTTTGCAAAATCACATCAAACTCAAAAGAATAAATTTCCTAGCCCCAGAATTTTATATTCAAACTAGAGGTTAAGGAATAATGTGTGACTATTACAATACAATAAAAGAAACTTTCTCCAGAATATATGAGAAATAAAGAAATTCACTGGAAAGGGTTTACATCATTCTTTAAGTCGTGGTTGGTTATCAGAAAGACAACATTGAACAAAACAGTCTGCAAGGCTCTGGAGTATATACACACAAGCAAAAACATTAAAAATATGCTCAGTTTAAAAAAAATGGGTAACTGAATACATCAGGCAGCTGTCAGACAGTCTTGACCATAACTACCAGTGCAGCATGTAATGCCTTTCAGGATTAAATGGCCTTGTGGTTTTAATGAATGGATAATGTGTTGTTATTTTTCGGCCTGGAAATTGTCCAAGAAACTAACATCTTAACATACGCAATTGAAGTACGTTTGTGGTGAAGATTCTCAGTCATCCAGGTTGAGTTGTCTGGAAGCTAAATCCAGTAGCAACTGGACTTCTTTTCCTGTTAGTTCGAAAGATTTTACTGTTTATTCAAGTAGCTTCTTCAATCTGAGCAAGTTGGTTAGGGGGACTATGTATATGTCCTCCAGGGAAGTTTCATTTCTCACCTAATCTGGACAGGCTCAATATATGAGTAAGCAAAAATTCATTGGGATGTAAATGTTCCAATTTCTAAATCCTTACCCCTAGGTAGATTGTTAAGAGTGGCCTCCCTGGTGAACCTTTGAAGTGGTCTTAGTCTTTCTGGGGTCTAATGAAAAGGCAGCATTAAAAAATGGGGGTACAGGTTGTATTTGAGGCCTCCATCCCTATTAAGGGAAAGATTTTCCATTTTGACCCTTCCTCTTCCTAGTTTCTTCTGTAAGATCTTGAAATGGCCTGATTTATCCAAAAGATCCTAATGTTTGAGTTTTGCATGCTCAGTATTACATTATTATTAATGCAGCACAAGTTAAATATTATATTATATATATTATATTTAAAGGAGAAAATGGGTACTGCCATATTTTAAAGCAACATTGCCATTTTCTCATCTTCATTTTGTTTTCAATAAACTCAACATTTACAGGACAATTAGGCAACTTGTAGATGATACAGCTATAAAAAGGTACTGGTTACAATAGTCATATCTTATTTACAGCACTGTAGACGTTAGGTTTACCAGTTCCTGTGGAAGAATAACAACATAAACGTATTTATCTTGCTTCCTAGAGGCTTCTGGTTGGTTGCTGTGGGTAAGGAATGTTGGAACAGATAAAGGGTCATCTTGTGGAAGAAGTGGATGGCTCTTGGTGCTCTGAGTGACAAGGGTTGCATTCCACCCCAAAACAAACATGCTGCAATTCTTTTGACAACACAGTATGCATTTACACAGCTCCTAAAGAATGTTCAATGCAGGAGGAAGTGAGAGAAGCCAATGTTA